GATGACTGCAGAGCTCAGCCAGTAAGTGTAGTCCAAGGAGAGGAGCCTGCCAAGAACCTGGGTCTTAACAGCCCACAAAAGGGCATTGTAAATGGACCTGAGGCTGTTAACACTGACACATGCTGAGGGACATTCCCTGTGGTGAGCAAGCCCATTGAACTGATGAAACCAGAAAGACTTTCTTCTGCCTGCAATGGTTCATTACGAACAAAACACGAGTTCATTTGACTGGGGGTTAATGGTGAACAGATGTCTGGCAAGGCAAAGACCACAGAATACTGTCTCCAAAAGCACAGATACCTGCTCTAAGCGCTGGACCTGGCCTCACTCTCCTACCCCTGTAAGCAGCTGGGCTTGAGGAAGGTGGCTGAGCAGAAGGTGGGCAGGGCTGGGAGAGTGTTTATGCTCCTGAGACATTAGGATACCGAGGCCCAGAGGGTATTGGCACTCCTGCCCCTAGCAATGTAAATGAAGTACATGAGAAAGAAAGGGGCCAGCACATGGCCCTCCAAACCAATCCAAGAGGCATCCACATGTGAATGAGTTCTTAAAATCAGTTCTCATACTGGCATAAGGTGATGATGACCCAACAAGGAAGAAAAAAATGAACACTTACTGAACCAGTGTCTAGACATTTGCTACACCAGATTTTGCACACACACATTATAATGACAACCACCTTCCCAGGTTGGTGCCAAAATTTTGTTGATACCACCAAGTGGTATGAAGTTTGGAGCAGAGTTTAGAGACCTGAGAATCAGTGGAAATGGCAGAAGACAGTACACTCCGAGACCCTCCTAAAATTAATTTGACTTAATTGCATGGAAATTCACAAATAATTTCAATTTCACATCTGGGTTGATGGGACAAAATAGAGACACCGTAATAGGAACCAAATATGGGAGAAGGGATTTGGCTTCCCAGGACATGGGATTGGGGATTTAAGTAAAACCAAACTGACTTTCTTCCTTTTACATTATTTTATTTCCTTAAAATTGATAAAAATCCTATGGTTGGAGATTATTGACCCCTTGTTATGAGGAAATTTGAAGATTGAAAGAATAAAGGAAAAAAACAGTGAGTGAGGGAATTAGCATGTGATTGCAATTCTTTTTCATTGTAAAAATTCTGACATCAAAACTACAAGACCGCTACCCTTTTGTCCTGGAAGAATTTTGAACACATTGCAAGAAATTTGACCACATGCACACATTCCCACCCCCATCGTGGAAGCTACTGACACTGATTTAATCTTCCCCCTAAGCTGCTTTCTCCCTAATGCATTTAAAGGAACTAAAACTTTTTTATTTTAAAAGTGGACACCTACTCATTATAAAAATAAGGACAAACTTAGAAATACAAAAATTATATTTTAAAAAATGTGTCAGTCAAAATCCCACATAGGGACATTGCTATTATTTAAGAGATGGTGACCGTCATTATTGGCATCTTCCTACGTAGGCACCAGCTATATAGAGGAAATTCTATAAAATTGATATCAAAATTTGTATGAAAATGTATTTATTATGAAAATACAAATTTTCCCAAAATTAATCTATAGATAATACAGTTACATTAGAAAGCCTAATAGGATTTATTATAGATTTGACTACTTCTGAAGTTTATATGCAAGAGCAAATAGACAAAAATAGACAAATAGAAGATAAGGAGGTAGAGAGTGCACACTACCAGCTATCAAGATTTCTGAAGATTTCAACGAGATAGAGAAATGATGACTTGGTTCAGAGATATGCAAACATACAGAAGTTCCTCTGTAAGGCCAAAAATAAAATTGGAACCTATACAGTACCATGCTATGCACAATAGTGAATGACTAACCCCAATAATTACAAGTGAATTAAAATTTAATAAAGTAGTATAAATCCAGAAGAAATATAAGTGCTTATATTTAATAACTAAGGGAGGAAGAGAAGATTTAAAAATATTATAAACCATAAAGGAAAACTTAGTAAATTTACCTATATTATAATTGAAAACAGGTGGGACTTCTGGCTATGGCAAAGAGGATAGCAAACATTCTGCTCCACAAAACCCAAGTTGGAAACAAAACAGAACTATCAAAAGCAAGTATTTTAAGGCCTCTGGAGAGTGACCAAAGGCAAACAGCAAATTAAGTGGCATTTATCCATGAACAGCCACTGAAAATTTGGGTAAAAACTAGGGGAGTCTGAAGCTACTTGCCTGGGGCTTCTCCCATTCTTCCTACTCCCAGGGCAGTTGCTGTAGTTTTATAGTCAGGAAAGGACGGCCTGTGAAAGCCAGTAACTTTGTTGCCAGGAGTGGCTAACATGATTTGGAGTGGAAGGTAAAAACCGATGGCTGATGGCATCAGTAAAAGTGAAAAACTAAGTAGGGAAAAAAAATGCTAGCTTAACTTTGTTAGTCCTGTTTGTAATGAGTGGCAGACCAGTCAGAAAATTAAGGGGAATACCTTCCAAATTAGAGAGCCATGGGAAGGTTACATAAGCCCTACACACATGGTTGGAATTTCGGGGAAATTGCATATGCGCATAGCAGACCTGAGAGGGCTCAGTGGAACCTGAGCGCCCAGGGCAGACATGGGAACCGCCTGCACTGTGCCCCCTTCCCACACACAGATCCATTGCAGAAGGTGGGACAGACAAACAAAAAATCCAGACTCTTCTCACGACAAAAAAGTTTCAGAAAATATAGTTGCTACAGTATATTTTCTCACAACTCTCTTTTTTTTTTACAGCAAAAAATTATGACAAAGAAACAGGAAGGTGTGACCCATACTCAGGGGGAAAAAGCAGTCAAAAGAAAATGACATCAAGTGGTCCCAGATGTTGCTTTGCGCAGGCACAGACTTCCAGCTATGAAATGTTAAAAGATAAAAGGAAATGGCGTTTAAAGAATTAAAGGAAAATAAAATGACAGTAAATTCCCAAATAAGCTATCCCTATAAAAAAATATATAAGAAAAGAAGGAAATGGAAATTTTAATTACTGAAATGAAAAAAAATCGTTGAATAATTTCAAAATCATATTTGAAATAAAATTGTCAGTGAACTTGCTGGTTGATTTTTAGAAATTATCTGATGTGAAAAATACAGAATAAAGTACTGAAGAAAAATGGGCAGTGCCCCAGAGAACTGGACAGCATGAAACAATCCATCTCCGCATCTGCAAGACCCTTCCTGACTGTCAGTGGTCAGATTTAGGCATGGCCGGTGATTCCCCGATGCCTTTTTCTGCAGTCTCTGCATCTTTCTGTGGGGTTTCTTTGAGAAAACAAAACAAAACTATTATTTATTGATTAAATAAATGTATTATTGACTCTTTTAAAATAATTATTATGTAAAACTCTCACCATATGTCATTTGATACGTACTGTTCATAACTGACATTTACATTACATTTGCCTCACTTCACATCTTTTTTTTTTAAATATTTAATATTTTCAGAGCTGTTTTAGGTTCAGAGCAAAACTGAGAGGAGGGTACACAGATTTCCCTTACACTCTGTTCCCAGACATGCATAGCCTCTCCCACCATCAACACTCACCAGAGTGGGATATTTGTTACAACTGATGAACAAATATTCAAGGACACATCATGATCACCCTAAGTTCATAATTTGCATTACAGTTGACGCTTGGTATTGTACATTCTACAGGGTTGGACAAATGTCTAATGACATTTATTCATCATTATGATGTAATAAAGAGTATTTCCACTGTCCTAAAAATCCTCTGTGCTACACCTATTCTCCCCACACTAGCCCCTAACCCCTGGCACCATTTGATTTTTTTTACTGTATCCATAGTTTTGTCCTTTTCAGAATGTCATATAGTTGGAACTATACAGTATGTGGCTTTTTCAGATTGGCTTCCTTCACTTAGTAATATGTATTTAAGTTTCCTCCATGTCTTTTTGTGGATTGATAGATCATTTATTTTTAGTGCTGAACAATACTGTATTTTCTGGATGTAGCACAGTTTATTCATGCCCTTACCCACTCAAGAACACCTTGGTTGCTTCCACGTTTGGCAATTATGAATAAAGCTCCTATAAATATTCATATGGGCATAAGTTTTTTATTCCTTTAGGTAAATACTGAGGGGTGTGATAACGAAATCATAATATAAGAGAGTATGTTTAGTTTTATAAGAAACTACAAACTGTCTTCTAAAATTCCTGTGCCATTTTGCATTCCCACCTGCAATGAATGAGAATTCCTGTTGCTCCACAACCTTGCCAATATTTGGTGTTGTCAGTGTTTCAAATTTTTTGTCATTCTAATATGTGTATAATTGTATCTTGTTTTAATTTGCACTTACCTGATGTCATATGATGTGGAGGATCTTTCATTAGCTTATTTGCTATCTGTATATTTTTTTTTAGTGAGTTGTCTGTTAAGATCTTTAACCCATTTTTTAATTGGGTTGCTTGTTTCTTATAGCTGAGTTTTAAGATTTCTTTGTATATTTTGGATAATAATCCTTTAGTAGATGTGGTTTTGCAAAAAGATTTTCTCCATGTGACTTGCCTTCTTATTTTGACACTGCCTTTCCAAGAGCAAAAGTTTTTAATTTTAATGAAGTCTGGGTTATCAATTATTTCTTTTATGTGTTATGTCTTTGGCATTTTATTTAAAAAGTCATCACCAACCCAAGGTTATCTAGGTTTTCTCCTATGTTATGCTCTAGGAGTTTTATAGTTTTGCATTTTACATTTAGGTCTGTGATCCATTTTGACTGGAGTTAATCCTCCCACTTTGTTCTCCTATTGGTTATTATTTTGCCACTCCATGTAAACTTCAGAATCATCAATTTGTCAGTATTCATAAAATAAGATGCTGGAATTTTGACTGGGATTACACTGAATCTATCCAGTTTAGAAGAACTGACATCTTGAAAATACTGATTTTTCCTACCTATGAAAATGCATGTAGTTTTTCTTTTATTTCATTAGAGTTTTGTAGTTTTCTTATATATAGATCTTGTACATAAATTTTGTTAGATCTGTATGTATTTCATTTCATGTGGTATTTATGTAAATGGTATTGTTTTTAATTTCATATTCCACTTGTTTTTTGTTGGTATATAGGAAAATTATTTGCTTTTGTATGTTAACCTTGTATCTTGTGATCCTGCTGTAATTGTTTATTAGTTTCAGGTTATGTTGATTCCTTTGGACTTTCTACATAGACAATCATTGTCATCTGTGAACAGAGAGCTTTATTTTTTCCTTCCCAATCTGTATACCTTTTATTTCTTTTTGTGGTCTTATTGCATTAGTTACTGATTCCAGTATGATGCTGAAAAGGAGTGATGAGAGGCTACATGTTTGCCTTGTTCTAGATCTTAGTGGCAAAGCTAGTTTCTCACCATTAAGTATGATTATATATAACCTAAGTAAGCTTTAGGGATTTTGTAGGTAATTTTTATGAAGTTGAGGGAGTTCCACTCTATTTCAACTTTACTGAGAGTTCTTATCAGGAATAAGTGTTGGATTTTGTCAAGTGCTTTTTCTGCATCTGTTGATATGGTAATGTGATTGTTCTGTTTTAGCTTGTTGATGTGATAGATTACATTAATTGATTTTACAATGTTGAACCAGCCTTGCATGTTTTGGATAAATCCCACTTGTTTGTGGTGTATATTTTTTTATATATTGTTGGATTTGATTTACTATTTTTGTTGGGGATTTATGAAGTTTTCTTTTCTTCTAATCTCTGCCTGGTTTTGGTATTAGGGTAATGCTGGCCTCATAGAATGAGTTAGGAAGTGCTCCCTCTGCTTTTGTTCTCTGAATGAGATTATAGAGAATTGGTGTCATGTCTTCCTTAAATGCTTGGTAAAATGCACCAATGAAATTTTGTGGGTTATTGTTTTTGTTTCTGTTTTTTTACTTTCTCATGAAGCACAAACTGGAGAATTGAACTTTATACTAAAATTTTCTGTTGCAAACCTTTTAAAGTGATAACTTGGGTATTTCTGTTCCCTTTCTTTTGTCCTGGGTGTTTCAAAGTTGAGGCATGCTGAGGCACCAGAGTGGGTTTGTTGGTTGCTTGTCCTTCCTTCCCTTTCGTGGTCTCGTAAGGAAAGGGAGTGAGCATAAGGGGCTATCTTCCCAGGAGACTGTACGCAGGTAGAACTGAAATGGCCACGTTGGGGAAGTGCTGTATAAGGGGAGAGGAAACTGTTTTTTCTCTTTCTTTCCTAAGAGGAGGGTAAATGTCTGTTTTACACAGTCCCTGCCCTTTCTAAGCTCTTAAATCACCTGGAGAGAAGAAAATATTCAGAGAATTAAAATACATTAAAAATATGTACAAGCTCCATTACTCAATGTAATAGATTTAAAATAGGTAATATTTATTTTTTTGTATAGGAGATTTTGAACTATAACTGGGAATTTAATGAGATTTTTTTTTCCTTTGTGTTATGTAAAGAGGCACCAAACTAACTTTTTTTACAAAGGCTTTGTGTTCAAATTTGTATTTAGCCCCCAGAAGTTTCACTAGAATGTAAATGTAAATAATAAACATTACATTCTTTAAAAAAATACCATTTCACACCTACAAGACTGACAAAAATATTTTAAGTGTGAAAATACCAAGTATTGGCAAACAAATATTGAAAAGGGAGCACTCATATCCTACCAAGGAATGTAAACTGTTATAACCACTTGAAAAACAATATGGCAATATCCAATTAACAAGAAGACCCACCTACAGCTCTCTGTGACCCAACAGGTCCTCTCTTGATTATGTAACTTGGAAAAACACCTGTATACACACTCAACAGAAACACGAAGTCCTGGCATCAGCATTTCTGAGAGCACAAGACTGGAGCCAGCTGAAATGCCCATCATCAAAAGAAACTGTAATTAAATCTTGATGGACTGTTTTTAATACAACATCTTCAGCCATGAAGATAAAATGAATTAGATCTGCAATTATCAACAAACATAGAACCTATAAACGTAATAGTGAGTGATAAAAACAAGTTTCAGAAATGCATGTGCAGGAAGATTCCACATACAAAATGTTTAAAAATATGCAAAACAAGATTATACATACGTGGTAAAAGATAAAAGAATAAAAAGAATGGCCTATAAAATACTCAAGAGAGAGTGTCTGCCCCTGGGAGAGGGAAGGAATGATAGTGAGGATGGGTACACCAAAGGCTTTGACAATATTTGCAGTTCTTTACTTATTATTCTGAATGGTTAATACCTAAATGTTTATTATTTTTTTACAACTTTGGTAGACCTGAAACACTTCATATAATTTTCCAAACACATTAAGCCAATTTGAAACAGTGCTACTTAAAAATATTAGTAAAATTTCAGTGTATACACAAAATTGAATAATTGAGAAACCCAAAACTTTCATTAAAGTCAAATATTGAATAATCTCTAACCTAGGGGGCACCAAATCCATGACAAATGTTTAACTTTATTATATCAGAGCAGCACTAACTACTTCAGCTGATAAACAGAAATTCCTACCATTCTCTTTCAGGATGTCAACTCCCAGAACAACCTCTCAGAACATCTGTGAGATTTCTTAATGATTTTACTGTGGTTATTAAACATTCAGTGTTGTTAGAATATGACCTGCTTTTTTGTAACAATATCATTTGTGACTTCATTAACTGATGGAAGCTATTAGAGTCCCAATAACAACATAGTAAAAATAAGTGCATTCTTACCAATTGGATTTTATATAATCAGGGCAGGCTAAACATTCGGTATACTAAAACCATGCATGTGTCCCCAGACCTAGTTCTTTACCTAAGTCTGGTTTTCTAAATGCTGGTGATAAACTAAGTCTGATTTATATGATGCATCTTATGTGAGAAATGTCGGTGACTAGGTGTCTGATCAAACTAGATAAATGAATAGTATAGCTAGTAATACCTTTTGAAGATAATCATTGCTAATTTGATGATTACCAGTTCCCATTAAATGAATTGTAAAACTATTGTGTTTTATTTTCTAAAAACAAAAAAAGGGAACTTCAGAACAGAATCTACATGTGATAATAGATTATAAAGGATGCCAAAAATTGCTGTGATACTTTTGAAACAGTTTGTTTCAAAATATTAGAGACAATGGGAAAATAAAAAATAGCACTTAATCTCTATTCCATTTAGTTTACTAAAAATGTTGTATGGAAGTAGCATAGCACAGTATTATTAACCTCTAGGTTAAGATATGCATCTTAATCCATGTAGCTATCCCCATCCCCACCCCAGCCATCTGCTCCCATTAATGACATCTGAACCATAGGAAAATCTGGCAAAACAGAGCCTTCATTCCATCACAACCATGAGTGGAAGGAGCCGGGTAGAAGCTGCCACGGCCAATGGGGTATACTTTCTCCTTGCATCACACTCTTTATCAGTTCCTACTGTTTATACCAGGGGTGCTCAAACTTTAGTTTGGATCAGGATTACCTGTAGTGTTTGTTCAAACAAAGATTGCAGAACCCACCCCAGAGTATTGATTTAATAGGCCAGTGTGGGGCCTGAGAATTTGCATTTCTGACAAGTTCCCAGGTGGCGCTGATAGAGCTGGTCCCTAGGACCAATGTCTGCTGCATCTGTCTTTACTACACAGTCCCTCTTGGCACTGAGGTTTGTGGCTCCCCCCAGTCCAGATGATACAGAAAATGCAAGTGTTCACAAATAATTTATAACAGAATAGTTATCCCTATAGTAATGCTATTTCTATCTGTTAAGTGTTTCAATATATTTTCCTGAGTGACTGAGAAGAAGTGAAGTCATTCCCTGTATTTCTGAGTAAAGGCCTTGGAACAGGTCTCATTTATGGAGACCTGTGAGTCCTGAGGAAGGAAGTTCAAGAGCCCTTGGCTTCCCTGTGTAATGCTCTGTGTGCTCCAAGGGTTGGGTGCATTTGGGAATTTGTACAAGTAATTCAAGTCTTTTCCTCAGTGGAAACTGGGGATAATAATATGCCCTCATATAAACCACTGATGATATTAAAAAGAGATCACATGTGCCCATATAGGAGCTAAAGGCATATTCATTCCCATTTCCTGTCTCTCTCCTCTGATTGAAGTGGAGGGAATTTGGAAAAATGTCACAGAGGACATAACCATTGAGTGACAATCCTCCCTTAGAGGCCAGGGAGGATTGGAATGTGCCAATGTATTTATTTCCACAGTTCAGACTGAAGAGCCCCTCCCGTCCTCTCTCCCCACTTACATGACTGAGGACATTTGGAGACAGAGGGTGACTCTGTTTGGGTTGCAGTGGCCTCGAAGAGGGAGTGTGCTGCAGCTCAGGGCTGTCTGATAGGTCCCCTGTGTTGGTGGGGAGATTCTACGCCTGGGCAGTTAGCATAGTCACCATTACCTCTGTGTGGCTTTTGAGTACTTGAAATGGGGTGAGTGTGACTGAGGAACTGAAGTTTTTATTAGTTAGATTTAAATGTATAAATAGCTACATAGGCTAGTAGCTACTGTACTGAATTGGATAGGTCCAGATTCAAATGTCCTTCTGATGCCAGGGTCTCATGCAAATTACACTGAGCACAACCCTACTGCCCTGGGCCCCATGTGGTTGTCAAGAGGAAGAAACCAGGTTACTGATGTAGAGTGCTGAGCACAGAGGAGGTGCTTAAAAAGTGTCGACTGCCATCCTAGCACTAATTAGTAGTTTGAATATTGATAAAGTTTCTTTTTGGGAATTGTCCAGCAAAGAAAAGCAAATGAATTCTGAGGAGTTCTTTAGGCTATAGGCAGTTGACTGTGCATGAAGATTTGAGGGATCTCAGAACTTTGTCATCTGGACCTTTAACACGTAAGATGTCTTCAAGCAACTGGATCCTGCACTTTGTAGCTGCTTTGAAAAAAACGCTTGGTTTGTGTAGATTTATGGCAAGAGTTAATGCACGCAGTAAAACTGATTTTGCATGAACTAAGTTGAGGCTCAGTTGACTCATACTGCCGAGCCAACGCCCTGCTAGAAAATTTACAGATTTGTAACATGGCATAAACCCATGTTCTCTACCTTTAGATTCTATGTGCACGTGATTGTATATGACATGGAAGTGGACGGAGCCACCACCCTGTGAGCAGAGTGACCTGTTTTACCTCAGATCACCTGAATTCTGATGGGAGAGGTAATTGCTAGCCTGCCTGTCTCGGTTTCCTTCTCTATCTAACATGGAGGCCAAGTACATCACAGTGCTGTCTGCTTTGGAGGAGGATGGAGGCCATCCAGTAAGTCATGGGAATGAGGCATAGGGAGCCTTAATGAAAACAAAGTACATAACAGGAAAAGAAGGTGCAGTATATTTTATTCAGCTCTCCCATGTGGTCGTGTGCATGATTCTTCCCAAGGGAGCATCTTGTAGTGGAGCATTTAGTTGCAGATGTAAAGTGAATGTAGCTTCTAGCTGAATATTTTCTCTGGCTTTATCCACATGAAGCACAGATGTCATACAAATCATTTTTATATTAATGCTGAGATAACACAACTAGGTTTGAAAATGATCACATTTTTCAAATTATTCCAGGAAGAGATTTGTTTTCAGAAGATGATTCCTAATGTGGCTCCTGGGTCCCTAGTCCAGGAGCCTCAGGGAGCGAGGGCAGAGTTGGGCATCTTCTGACACAGGGAGCAGCCACACATCACACACTTTGTGCCAGGCCCCAAGGGGCAGGGCCTCCTTTCACGTGACGACAATGGGGAGACATGGCCACAGGCAGCTTCAGGGGAAAGCAGGTTAAAACAAAACCCCTGTGAGCAAGTTGTAGTCCCTGCTTTTATGAGTCAAAAACCTGCCAGGGCCTGGGAATGGAAGGGCCTTCACTGGCCACCGCCTGGGCCACCTGGTTCCATGTGGCTGTGCTGGAGTCGGGAGAAAACAAGCTGTCTACTGGTTTACCGGGCAGCATCTTTACCTGACAAGAAAGTCCTCTGATGTTGATGAGAGGCACAGCCACAGACTGAGGTCAGATCTAGGCTGCTGTGGTCCCAGCTGACCTGTGTGACACCGCTGACCCCTCCAGCACCTTCCTCCCGGGCCCTTGGTGTCATAGCCTAAAGTCTTTCCTTTAAGCTAGTGGCTCCCTTGCACTTGACAAAGGAGCCCAGAGTGTAATTGGTGCTGGGAATGTCTACACTTTGGAAGAGAAATTATCCCACTTGATGACAGGACTGTAGTCTTGGACCCAGTGTACTAAGAACACAATAGTCCAACACCGATACATTTGGAAGAACTGAGTTCCTCTGGAGGCTGACAACCATCCATCCTGAGGTGGAGGGGAGTGGCACAGATGTGTTTGCTTTCAGCCTGACCTCCGTTTGCACAGAACGCAGGGCCCAGGCCAGGGCACCCCAGTGCAGTCTGGCTCCTGGGTTTGCTGGGGCTGACTGTGTGAACGTGAACATGCCATCAGTCAAGGGCTCACACAGACACACACTGGCCTGCTCTAAAAAAATCAGCAATAATCTGGTATCACTGACATCCATGGAGAAAATAATTTTTTTCCCCCAAAACTTAAAGGCCTTCCTAACTGCACTTGGTCTACTTCACCAAACAGGAACCTGTCTCAGCATCTGTACTTAGGTTAATGATGCGTTTGGTTTACCCCAAACCAAGGGCTTTCCTAATCAAATTGCAAACTCCCAGCAGGGCATTTCAGGAGTGGGAACCAGCTTCCTCAGGTCATTCCCAGTTTCTGCCCATCAAGGGGTCAGACAACCTTGGTGTCAGTTATACACACTGACATACCCTCAGGTGCATGATTTTATCTATGTGCAAATTACACCCAAACATTTTCTCAAGGTCCTCATTGGCCAGTAACAAGATAATCTGACATGAAATCCAGTGGGATGTACCACACTTTGCAATATGCCTTATAGCTGGTGCCTGGTGATTTCCTCACCAGTGGGAATTCGTGGTCTCGGGAGGCCCCCAGCAGCATTTCCCCCCAGCCTCCCCTCATCTTGTAGAGGGGACCTGAGTCCCATGAGGTCCTGAGGTCTGGGCGAGCTCACAGAGAAAATGACCAAAACGCAGGCCCAGGAGTCCAAAGACCAGGCCTCTTGACTTGGTTCAGGCAGCTCCGCTCAACCCAACTTTCATTTTGTGGAAGAACATAATGTGGTCACAGCTGCCAAAACTCTATTCCTTTAGGGAATCTTTCATTTCTCCAAGGTGATAAGAGTGTCAGTTTTCAACAGGCATTTGATATTCAGGGGCCTTGAAGATCCAGTGAGATCATTAAAGAGAACACTGAATTTTGTTCCTTTTCACCACATTTTCTGTCTTACAAACAGGAAATTAAATTTTTGCTGACCAGTTCAGGGTTCCAAATCAGACAGCTTCTGTTCACAAGAGGAATGTGAGCCAGCAATGCAGCCAGTGCTGAAGCACAAGGGACTTTCCGAATTTTAAGACAAAATAGTTTAATGTTAAAAATACCTGTTAAAGTTGTACTGCTTTCATTTGCCTAATCTGTGCTGCCTTCCTCCCTCTGTTGTAGGCAAACTGCACACTTCAGTGAGAAAAACAGGGCTGGAATGAAGGACTTCCTCCCCATGGTCTGGCTGGACTTGGGGCAGTTCTGTGACACAGATATATCTGGCAAGCTACAAAACGCCCCTGCGTGCAGGCAGCACTGGGAGGGTGAGGCCCCGGCTTGGATTACTGTAAAAGATCACTCTGGTGTGGTTCACGTGCAGCAAGTGTGGACAACCACCTGGACAGAGTGCACTTGCCCTTTGGCTTCTCACGCTGGCTGTGCATCCTGTCACGGGGCTTGATGAGGACAGAGATGTGAACCCGCAAGCTACCTACAGATCACTGTGATTGAACAAGTGATGAAGTTCTTGGGATAGAAAGAGATGGTCCTGGCTGCCTTTCAAACCCAAATTCAGGGCCAGCTGAATCATCCATCAATCATATTCCATTCCTTCCAGGACCAGGGTCCGTGGGGTTTCCGCTCTGGTCCTGCCCCAAGAAGGCCCCCTAGCATCAGCTAGGCCCGTGTCCAGCAACTGATTCCTCTGCCTTGGTCTCCTTACCTGTGAATTATGGTGCCACTAGGACCTGCCCTGGGGCCTCTCCTGAGCACTGGGGCAGCCCCCTGCTGGTAATGGAAAAGAACCCAATAAACATCAGCTGATTCTAATCATGGACCTTTGCTGGAAAATGGTCCCATTCTGCTCACTGCTCAGAAGAATCCAGAGCACACTGGCTCATCTTCCCTGTCTCTATTTTGAGTTTCTCTTCTTTAAGGTGTGTGGAGTCCATTAGGACTTCTCTTCCATTCCCTGCTTTTATGAGTCAAAAACCTGCCAGGGCCTGGGAATGGAAGGGCCTTCACTGGCCACCGCCTGGGCCACCTGGTTCCATGTGGCTGTGCTGGAGTCGGGAGAAAACAAGCTGTCTACTGGTTTACCGGGCAGCATCTTTACCTGACAAGAAAGTCCTCTGATGTTGATGAGAGGCACAGCCACAGACTGAGGTCAGATCTAGGCTGCTGTGGTCCCAGCTGACCTGTGTGACACCGCTGACCCCTCCAGCACCTTCCTCCCGGGCCCTTGGTGTCATAGCCTAAAGTCTTTCCTTTAAGCTAGTGGCTCCCTTGCACTTGACAAAGGAGCCCAGAGTGTAATTGGTGCTGGGAATGTCTACACTTTGGAAGAGAAATTATCCCACTTGATGACAGGACTGTAGTCTTGGACCCAGTGTACTAAGAACACAATAGTCCAACACCGATACATTTGGAAGAACTGAGTTCCTCTGGAGGCTGACAACCATCCATCCTGAGGTGGAGGGGAGTGGCACAGATGTGTTTGCTTTCAGCCTGACCTCCGTTTGCACAGAACGCAGGGCCCAGGCCAGGGCACCCCAGTGCAGTCTGGCTCCTGGGTTTGCTGGGGCTGACTGTGTGAACGTGAACATGCCATCAGTCAAGGGCTCACACAGACACACACTGGCCTGCTCTAAAAAAATCAGCAATAATCTGGCATTACTGACATCCATGGAGAAAATAAATCTTTTCCCCCAAAAAGTAAAGGCCTTCCAAACTGCACTTGGTCTACTTCACCAAACAGGAACCTGTCTCAGCATCTGTACTTAGGTTAATGATGCGTTTGGTTTACCCCAAACCAAGGGCTTTCCTAATCAAATTGCAAACTCCCAGCAGGGCATTTCAGGAGTGGGAACCAGCTTCCTCAGGTCATTCCCAGTTTCTGCCCATCAAGGGGTCAGACAACCTTGGTGTCAGTTATACACACTGACATACCCTCAGGTGCATGATTTTATCTATGTGCAAATTACACCCAAACATTTGCTCAAGGTCATTATTGGCCAGTAACAAGATAATCTGACATGAAATCCAGTGGGATGTACCACACTTTGCAATATGCCTTATAGCTGGTGCCTGGCGATTTCCTCACCAGTGGGAATTCGTGGTCTCCAGAGGCCCATGGCAGCATCTCCCCCCAGCCTCCCCTCATCTTGTAGAGGGGACCTGAGTCCCATGAGGTCCTGAGGTCTGGGCGAGCTCACAGAGAAAATGACTGAAACGCAGGGCCAGGAGTCCAGAGTCCAGGCCTCTTGACTTGGTTCAGGCAGCTCCGCTCAACCCAACTTTCATTTTGTGGAAGAACGTAATGTGGTCAAAGCTGCCAAAACTCTGTTCCTTTAGGGAATCTTTCATTTCTCCAAGGTGATAAGAGTGTCAGTTTTCAACAGGCATTTGATATTCAGGGGCCTTGAAGATCCAGTGAGATCATTAAAGTCTACCTCGTGGCTCCCCAGGAAGTGGAAGTGGGGACCCTCAGCCACCTCTGGTCTGGGGCAGCCCATACTGCAGACCCGGTGGCTGATCGCAGGCTAAGCCCTCTTCCATGTAGCAGTTCTTCAGCTCAATGTTTCTAGGCCTGCTGAGTGTTCTACTTTTCAAATTAAACATCTTGATTTTCTTCATGCCTCTTTTTTGCACATTTTTCTTCTCTTTTTTCTTTTGGTGTTTTTAACATTGTCAATCTCAGCTTAGGTCTGACCAGTGCAGGTAAAAAAGGAATTGTTTTTCTTGTTTTTCCCAGGACAGTCTTCATCCATAACATTTGACACTCATCTCTGTTTTGGGGGTATCCCTCCACCTTGTTGAATGTTCTCATCTCATATTCAGTTTCTTTATTATTTGGGCCTCAGACACCATTTTGCATCTGATTCTGTCCTCTGCTGCCTTCCCCTGTCTCCCTGCTTTGATGTGTCTGCAAATGTGATCAGCCTGGTGTCAACACCCTCATCCAAGACCCTGCAGGGTTTGTCTTCCGGGCTTTCCATCAGCACTCTGTCCTCACACCATGCATTTCACAAAACTCTTATGCTCTTAACTGGCTCCAACTTAAGATTCCAGCCAATGTCTTTGTAAACCATAACCCTTCCTGTGGTGTTTGCGTTTTAATAAAGGGCTCTGGAGGCCCTTGTGTTGTTATTTCAGGCAGCAGCACAAGAATCGAGAGGCACTGAACCTTGCAAGAAGACTGGCAGGTAGATCACACAACCGGTTAGGACCAGAGCCAGAAGGGCTTGTGTGCAAAGCTCCAAGTCCCAACAGGGTGCTGAAATGTGTCCGGGAGCAGTGGGAGAGCATTCTGTTCACGAGATGAATCATGGCTGCTTAATGGTCTCCAGCTCCCCTCTAGTTCTGCTCCCCTGGAAGCTCTCTGCCAGATCCTGAATGACAGCTCCCAGTTCCTCCATGTTGGATGGGGCAGGTTGGTGGGTGCATCTTAGGGCATCCCTGCACCCCACCAGCCAGAGAGTAGACCTCCTTCCCTTCTTTAGGCTGATGATGTTGCTCAGTGGACCCACCCACACCCTACTGTGACCACACATAATCAAGTGTGGCTCCCTGCCCATCTACCACC